CATATATATGAGTTAAAAATATAGAGAAAGCATGAAAAATTATTAAGATTGACAAAAATAGAAATTTTTTTATTTAAGAAATAATACTTAAAAAGAAATTATGTAATAAAAAATAGTAAGAAGCTGGAAAACAAAATAAGGAAAGGGTATAATCTTTTTATCAGCTCACACGATTATATCAGCAAAAAGGAGTGCTTTCTAATATTGTATCAATACAATAGTGTAAGAAACACTAAAAAGAAAAGAGAAAAAAATTATTGAAACAAAAATAGAACACATTAACCAAAAATATCTATACAAAATAAAACATATCAAGCAAAAAACTGAAAATACATAATAAAACACAAAATGAAATCGAGTAGTCAATTCAAATAAACTGGAATCTTTCAAGAATGATTAAAAATATTTTTGTAATAAGATTGCCAGATTACAAAATATGAAAAGGGAAGTGCAAATAGTGTTAGAAGCGTAAATAGAGGGATCTTGTATTCTTTTATATCGCCTTCTTACTGAATTTGTTAGTATACCTTGGATTGGCCCGAAAATGGATTTGCGCAAGATAATAATATACTATACATATAGGTGGCATAAATGATGTTTAATTAATTCTATTGTAGTGTAAAAATTTGAAAGGGATGCTCAAATTGTTAAAAAAAAATTTGTATTTATTTGCTTTTTCAAAAGAATCATGTTAACAGTAAGTTTTAGAGTATTGATAACTTGATTTTAGAAAATTTTAAGCAATAGATTCTGACCATATTATCACTTACAGAAAATGTTTCACATGTATGCTATGGTTTCAACAATTATTTTGATAATTTATTTTACTATTAATTTCTTTTTAGTTCGATGATCCCAATGGTACCATTGCTAGTATATTGGAGCAAGTTAAACAAATGGTTTGTTTTATATTTTTACCCTTCTGCTTTGTTCTTTAAACTGAGTTATCAAATTATAAAGCCTTTTGTTTTGCTTTAGGGAGTTCATGTTGACTTTCCTCCGAGTAAATTGAAACAAGGATGGGGTGAACATGTCATTCTTGTGCTCTCTCATTTGGCTGATGAGGCACTTAAAAGAAATAATTTCACATGGAAAAGGTGATTTAGAAAAATAGTAAAGGATACAAGAATGTTTTGTTCTGATAACAATTGGCAAAAATCATAATTTAAAAAAAAAATTTTTTTTTTTTCTATATTGAAGTTGAAATTTTTTTTATTTCAATAAAATTTTTTTTCCTTATTAATCAGATTTTAAAAAAAAATTTCAATAAGATTTTTCTTTTGTTTTAAATCCATTTTCTTTTAATAACCAATAAAAACTCAGAATAAAGTGTATTAATAATGTTTGCTATTATTTAAAGATAATTATAAATAATATTTAATTATAAATATAATTATTTAAAAAT